GGATAGGCCCTCTCTACATATTTTACAAATACTTATTCATTGAGTCCCCACAACAATCCTATGAAGTCAGATCTCATATCATCCCCATTTAACAGATGAGAAAACTGAAACCCAAAAAAATGTAGCTAGCCCAAGGCCATGCAGCCAGTAAATAAACAGTAGAGCTGTGACTCAAACCAGTGACAGACACTACTACCGTGTTTCCCTGAAAATAAGACACTGTCTTATATTTATTTTTTCTCAAGAAGACACACTAGGGCTTATTTTCAGGGGATGTCTTCCTCTCAGTGCTGGAATACACGGTCACTAGGTCTTATTATCAGGGTAGGGTTTATATTTAACAAATGCATAGAAATCCTGCTAGGGCTTATTTTTTGGGTGGGTCTTATTTTCGGGGAAGCACAGTATTCCTTGTAATGTCCCAAATGCTCTCAAATGCTCTCTATACAACTAACGGGAGCTACAGGTGAGAATAGCTCCATCTTACTTTTCATAAGGGCTGTGTGCCCATAGTCTAACTCTGCAAATCAGCTTACATGTCAAACACTTTAATAAGCATATTATGTAAATGGAAGGTGACAGGGAAATCTTTTATTGAACATGTGATGCTGCCTAATTTGTCTGTTTTGAAAGTAGACTTTTTGCACTGACTACTACAGATTCCTTGCTTTATTTAGTACACTTGAATTTGGCATTTTGCTAACCCCTATGTGAGAACACTCCACACCCATGCCATGGAAGACGTGGCTTTCTGAGCACCAGTGTAGGCAAATTGCTGTTTTCATTACCCACCAAGAGCTGAATTTGACAGGCTCATCTCCAGTGTGATCTGTAACTCATGTGTGTCAGGTTCACGGAATAATTCATTTTAAATAGTTAATGTCATAAACCACAGGGAAAAAAGCAAGTTCTCTTTTTTCTTAGTTCACGTATCATAATAAAGTTGTACACTTGTGGAAACCTTGGTTATTATTTTCCACCCTATTTTTCATAAACCAGAGAAGTACATAGATAATGATAAAATATTTAGTTTTCTGGGTGGTTCTAGCTTCTGATCATCAGTCAAGGTTAATCAACCACAATATGACTAAACGACACATTGGATCCATGTTCACGTTCAAATCAAGTCAGCACCTTCTTTCACCTGTGCAGTTTCCCCTCTTTTCCTTGGCTGTTCGCTGGTCACCTACAGACCCCTCTATGCCTAGAGGGGGGTTGGAGCAACATTTGTTACCTGACGCCTTGAAGAACCTTCAGCATCCCAGGCTATTATTGCTAAGGTGCTTGAAAGTGAGGTTTAAGAAGAACTCAAAACTAGACAGCAAAGTGTTACCTTTCTTCCAGAAGGAATGTTTAGTAACATACAGCAGAATACTGAGTTGTGCTGGGGATATTGGTGAAGGAAGCTTCAAGGACAAAAGAAATTTTCTCATGATAAAAGAATAAAAACAGAAACACACATAAACACATATATCACTTTTATTACGCTGGAAGGGAAGAGTGCGCTTAGGTAAAATCATTGTTCCTTGGGGTGGAACGCTATAAGTAAAGTGGCAGTATTTTTTCCAACTGACACATTTCTAAGAATGGTGAGAAACTCAGCCCTCTGGGCTGACTCACCCAGTGTTTTGATCTCAGCCTTGCAAACATGCAGCCACTCAGCCACTGGAAGACTGTGCTCACCTCTACGCCCACTTAGAGAGCTGAGGGAGCAGGGCTAGGGATGTGCCTTAGGTTAATTAGGGATGGGGGTCAGAATCACCAGCATAATACTCAAGCAGGCTTTGGAGTCTGCAATCTTACAAAAGTGAATTTGAATTTCAGCTCCAGCCGAATTAATGTAGCAGCCCTGGTCTGTGACTTGGAGTAGGTGCGCTCATGCATTTTTCTCTAGGAATGAAGAGCTTACTCTGTTTCTCTAGCTTTTGGAAACACTTCTTGTAGCTCTTCACCCTCTTCAGAACTGCCTCACCTGAAAAGACCCTCTTTACCCAGCCTCACATCCCCCTTCCAGGAGCCCTCTACCCAGTGATCACCCAGTGCAGAGAAAGGCCCAGCACTGGGCCTCTACGCAGAACAACTGCATGGCCAGTGCTCAGCAGTGCCCTCTGAAGGGCCAGCTTAGGACTTCCTCAGGACCCCATCACAGTCTAGCTCCTTCTCCTGCCCCTTCCTGCCCTGCGTCTTCCCTTCCATGGGTGCTGATCTGAAAAGCATCTTTTCGTAGACTTCTGTCTCTGCCTCTGCTTCCCAGGGAATGCACAGTGTGGTATTGCTTAGCCCCTAAGCTTTAACATGAATGCACATCCTGATTCAATG